CAGTACAAAAAAGGAAAAACAAATGAAAACTCCAAACAAGAAACCAATCCACAAGTACATCTTTTCTCTTTCCTCCCACAGGAGAACTCCAAAATGGAAAAGGATCATTTGGAAACAGCAATACTAGCATGCAGAATTTTATTTAAATATAATCACAACCATTATTTATTTGTGAGTACCAAAGATAAAATTCTAAGAATTCAGGAAACCCAGAGGATACCACACCAACAGTAATTTCAGTTTTGATGCTCTCCACGCATGTAATGTTTTCTGTACCATTTGGTGTGTTAACCTAAAACATAAATTAGAAATACACAGTCAGTGCAACCCAGTCAGCCATCTGAAACATCCCTTTTATTTTCTCAAGTATGCATCACTAATTGCATGTTAAATTTTATATTTTTAACATAAGCTAGGAATTTTCTCTCCTAGTTTACTAATTCTAGTGTATTTAATTAGCTGCATTGATAGACATTTCCTTCCAAAGGATCTGTTCTTAGTGAGAGTGGAATAAGCTTCCAAAGCTCTGTGATAAATTGTTCTGAAAGCACACTCTGCTTTTCCCAAATGTCTATCACTTACCTCTTCCCAGCCTCTTTTAACTGCCCTCTCCTTCCATCTTGTAGCTTACTCTTAAATATTTCTAAATTGATCTTGTAGTAAAAAAGCACAGTCTAATATTTCACAGGTGCACTTGTGCTCTTGAGGGTAAATATATCACCCTGTCATCACCATGGTCAGCACATTCCTCACAATCACATTATCAGCTGCTTGTGTTGTTTCTGTCCTTATGGGGTGGTTGGAAACACACAGAACTTCCATGTGAAAGACTTCCAGGTGCAAGGTTATAGCTTTGCATCTGTTTTTCTTCTCATGAGAGGGATTTTTTTCCCTCCAATCTTTATAGGACTTCCATGTGGCCTTATTATGTTATCACTAGCACATGAAATATACACAGCCTTTAAAAGAAGAGTAAATACTATGCAGAGTGAGCAACCCTGAATTACAAGATTAGGGCGATTTTGCCAGGGTTTCATTAGTAGAAACACTTTAAATAAATTAGTCCAGTCCTACACTTCACTACAATTATGCTATCCAGCATTCTCAGCTATCCTTCATTGTCTTTTAACTTTCAGTTATGTATCTCCAAACCTTCTTTTAACTAAAACTCAAGAGCTATCTTTCTCACAGAACTTCAGGCTAAAAGGCAATCATCACTTAGACAACTTGATATGTGAATTGCCAAATAATTTCTAACACCACTGCCAATTCTCCATTTAATTTTAAGAAAAAAAACCCCTCCCTCTAGGACTTTAGTGGCAGTTGGGTCCACATCTGGACTTTGCACGCTTATAAAAGATGGGAAACAAAAGATATATTCATTACTGACTTTAAGGAAGGTGCATCTGCATTCAAAAGTGTATTGCCTCACAGACATCAGACTGAAAGTCTGGAAACGCTGGAAACACTGTAATGCTCTCATGGAAGACATGACCTTGAAAGCAGTGATGCGTATTTTCCATAGCTACAATGCTGGGTATGACAGGGTTTTTGCTTCGGCTACCAAATTGGTGAGGACTTTCACATTATTTTTTCTGACAATATATAAACTTTATCATCTCACCATGCCCATGGACACCATGCCCAAAAAGACACCCTTTGGTCCCCTCATCTACAGTCCTTCTACATCTGAATCCAGGTTCCCTGGAAGTTGAGAAGAGTCTGAATCAGCCCAAAGCACACTACCAGCAGCAGATTCTAGATGATATATTCTAGATTACAACTGAATAAGGGAGAATATTACTGCAAGTACCGATGTAACGCAGTTAAATCTGTTTATACATTAAGGGTAGTTGTCACAGAAGGTTACAACTGAAATCTTGAAGCTTTCAAAAGAGAAAAAAAATTATTCTAAATTAAGAGAAAAATATTTACATAACTCTTTCATTTTCAAGCCCTATGCAATTCACTTGTTGCAAATGGAAGGGATTTTTGTTTCATCTGAACTTACTTTTAAAGGGTTCCTTCCCATCAACTTCATTAGCACCTCAACAGCATTAACTGCAGGTTTCCATGGCTAAACAGATAAATGGAAATTTCATGACAAATCATAAGGTTTTGTCAGTGAGCTTTTATAGAACACCACAGACTGTCCCTTTACTTGTCCCACCTATAACACAGTTTGTTTAATGCAATTCTCTTCATTCTTCACCACGTGAGGTAGGCAAGTACAGTGCATTGGCCTTCTTTAACCTCTTCAAGTACCTTCATTCTCTAGAATTCATTCACATATTGAAGTTGAAAGGTGAAGATTCTGAAATTATCTCATAAGCAGACCAGAACTTCTACTACATATCAGAAAAAAATATCAAGCTCTTTTTAAAAAGTCAGCGTATATTTTAAACTCTCTCCAGTGAATATAGTAAAGATCCCTAAAATTCATTTGTAGGTAGAAGTCCTCGCACCTCGTCACTCAACTAAACTGCACATGCAGGTTTAGAAGCTGTTACATTAGAACACATGACTCAGAATTAAATTATGCCATAACTGGAGTCCAGGAGATTTACGCTCTGCCAGATTGCATACAATACTCTTGTTACAGCTAAACTACAAGTCAAGATCCAACGAATATATTCTTATAAAATGGCTTGAAACTCTATAACATTAACCCTGCTTTGGATTTCAGACTCTGCTAGTGCTCCCTGACAAATAGCTTGCTCTTACAATATCAATTTTGCTGCTTGTAGAGTAGACTATATAGTGATATTTTCACTACAATTTAGAGGAAAACTTGTAGGAACAGAAAAGAGATGCTCGGAGAGACCTATTTTCTCTCAGGGCTAATACAGTTTGACCAATACTCAGTATGACTGAAGAAGCTATTTTTACTTATGAAAAATAGTAGGATAAAATAGCCACCAACATAAAAAACAATTTTCTTAAAGTTATATGCTTTGAGTTTTAACTACAAAGGAATTTCGAAGATTCCTCAATATTAGAGTCATTTGAATAAAAGAATTAAAAGGGACTACATTTTTAAAATAAATATTTTTTAATAATAAAATCTTCTAATTCAGTTGAAAATTAAGAAAAATGTAAAATAAAAGTATTATAAATTTAGGAAGAATATGTTCCATGTATACGAGCAATATTAGCATAAAATAGTTGAACATTTATATGCAAAATCGAAACTAACTTCAACAAGGGACTTCTGAACAGCTTTAAAAAGCATGTGTAACTAGCACTAAAATCCTTCTATCTTTTGTGGATACAAGCCATTAAAGAACAACTTCTTGTCATATGCTTACAAACACATCTTTTGGAAAACAATTTTATTCATTTTGCCTACATTTCACCATCACTGTAACAATACTGAGATCTAAAAGAAGCACAGTAACAGGTAGGTATAAATACTACTCTAGTTCTCCTTTTGAAAGAGGCCAATCACGTAACACGTTGCTTTCATGTAACAAGTTACTTTCATACATAAAATAATTTACCACCATCTGAATTAAAAAAGACCTCACATGGCACTGTTTTGCATTGAACCATCTTACACTGATTTTTTAACTTGTTCAGGGAAGACTCTTACCTCTGTAATTCATCCTTTAGAGGTCCCATTGAGTAGCTCAGGGATTCTGAAAAAACAACTAAGACCAAGCCTCTCCTCTACAAAACATTAAACAAACCCAGCCACTACACTAATCATAGAGGGAGGAAAGGAAGGAGTGTGAGTTGAGCGGCCTCTGAAGCCAACCAGTAACACAAGGCACAGCAGGAGCTGGGCCATTAGGGTTTAGATCTTTCCCAGCTGTGTTGAGCTGGGAGTATTCTCTGAGAAAGGCTGTAGATTTAGGGAAAAGTCTAGGGTAGGTTAGAAGTAGCTTCTAAATAAAGCATCCTGAAATGAGGTTCAGTGTGGCTGAGAGCAGGTTGTGGTTTAGTGAACAGGCTCCTGGGATTAATTAAATTGGAAGGGGACAAATTCTCTGAAGGGTAGGACAGGGCCTCTGCAGGCAGCTATTCTCCCTGATAGAAGTTTTGATCTGGGTTATGAGCTTTTGGGACCCTGAAAATTCAGGAAATCAAAATATCCATTGTAAACTTTGAGCTAGTCCTCATGGAGAGCATGGTCTGGAAGTACTCAAGCTCTTTCTGGGTTAAATAAAGGGTTTGAGGCCATAACATGATGCTGTACTTGCATCTCTACTTGCACTATGATCTTTTTATGAAAACTCTTCTGTTATCAGGGTCTCCTACTCCATTATCTGTTGCCCCCGATAACAGAAACAAACATGCCTAGTTAATTCTGTGAGGGCTCACAGCTCATTTCTCATTCCAGTGAGCTTAATAAAACTTGCTGAATAAACTATATACAAAGTTGAGAAAAAGTAATATTTACATTTATTTCAATCCAGTTTGACCATAATTTTTTAATGTTAATTTCTGTAAAGTTTACTTGGATGGGTAAAGCTAACTATTCACTCAATTATACACTTTAAAATTTATTTTATTATAGATACCACTATATTTGCTAACACCAATCACATACGTCATATACACCAGGGACAGAAGTTGGTTAGAGACTGGAACATTCCCAAATACCTAAGAAGGGTCATTCTAGATCCCTAGCAAGGTACTTTAGTAGACAATGGGAAAACTTTTGTTGCTGTTAATAATGAAGTAACTACATTGTGACTAACAAACTAAAATACCTTCAGGGTTGTAAGTTTGTTAACTGTAACCTTTTGTAATGGAAGTTCTTATAATCTTGGAAGAAATACAAACAAGATGTCATTTCTATGGATCAGGTTCTTGCCCTATCATGTGAAAATCAGAAAATGTTTGTTACTGCAAAAATCAGATGATGTTAGCAAAATTATTTCATACTATGCTTGTCATTGTCAGTAAACAGCATTTCTATCAATAATTTAAATTAATCATAAACTAGTATAAATTCATAATCTCATGGGTATGTAGCCCATTACAGTTTAGTGAATAACAGATAATTTACACAAGCTTCTAAAACTACATTCTTGACATAGGTAAGCTGTACAAATCATAGCAGGATCTCTATGACAGTGAGAAAAGCAAAATGAAAGCTCCTTCATGTTGCACTGAAAAGAAATACCAAAAGATTTTTTGGGGTACTACAAAACCTAGTAATGATTCAGACCTCTAAATATACAATATCCCTTAATGGCACACAATAGCAGCAATCAATCTCTGATGCTATGGCCCAGTAGTTAAAGCTAAGACCTTAAAGAAATCACAAAGCTTCTTCATCCACGACACAATGCAAAGGGCAAAATAACAGTTTATTTTCTGTGGCCATTTTTTTTTTCTGCTGAGAGGAAAATTAATGCTTCAAGGAAAAACAGAAGGGAAACTGCTTCCTGGGGAAAATAAGCATTCTTCTTTCATCTTTAGACTACATTTTATAGTTGCAAGAAAATAAAATCTTAATCCTGTAGGAGTTCATCTGGTTTTGGTACCTGCAAAATATTTGAATTACAGTGTTCTTATTTGGGATTTTAAACTCATTCCATTATGTGGGATATTAAGAAATAAAATTTCTCATGGCTTTAAATTGGAGATTCATATATTCATACAGAGCCATACTACTCTGTATTACATTGATTATTATTTAGTACCAGGTTTTCATATGCAAATCCAAAGTCAGGTGAATCCCTCCCCATACCTTTCACATGACAAGCTTTTACAAAGTAAAATAGTATTGCATGCTACCTGTAAATCTAAATTATAAATCTAAGCCTACCCTGTGCTTAAGCACTTCAGCCAAAAGAAAATATGGCCTTTGGCATATCTGCATTTCAGAATCTGTATTTCTTAACTGGAAATACTTGACTATCTCCCAAGTTCATATGCTTAGTTGTACCATTCTGGTCTAATGCAAGAAAACAGGTTAGTCACCAAGAAAAGAATCTCAGTGTAGAACATCCAATTCTGAAAGTTATGATTGACAGAAAAAGACTCTCACAACCAAAAGGAACAGAAAACGAGCTGCTACATCTTTTAAGAAAATCTATTTCTACTAAAATTTTACACATTACTGAAGAGATTACTGGGAAGGATTCATTGTTGGTCTTCTAGAAGCAGAGAAAATTTTTTCTCCTGCTTCTTTTTTTTTAAACTATAAAATTTCTTATCTACCAGTTACAAGAGAAAGTTATTCCATGGGCTCAGGATATTTAGCTTAGATTGTAAGTAACTTCAATATAATCTTAAACAGTTACCCGAGAGGCAGAACTCACAAAAGTTAGAAAGTTTTTTGCTCTAATCAGTGGGAATGGACATTTATCTTCTAAATCATATGTCTTTCACATGGATTACAAAACAAGTAGCAGATTCCTCCTTCTTGGCATAATTCAGGAAGTTTGGGTTCTGCTGTTAGAATCATACAAAATGTAATTTAATGCTGAAAACCACCAACATGTCTAAAATGCTGCTTATTTCAGGCAGTCTATTAAAGATGTTGACAGCTATTACCTGACAGTGAAAATAACAGACCTACAATTAACTAAGCATTCCAGAATTCAGACTGTTAAGGAAAAATTGAAGACATTTGAATAGAAAAAGCTTTTCCTGAATCTTTAAAAAATCCCATCTAATGTACCAAACAGTAAGGTGTCTGAAACACCAAGCTGGATAGATCTTCACTTTTTGATGCCCCACACTAAACAGGATGATATACATGCTAATTCTATTTAAGTTTGTGCAAACATATGAGAGGAGGACTATTGTTTTGTGAGCAAATGTAACTCCAGCAATGCAGCATTCCAAGTATCTGACCAGAATATATTGACACTGGATGTGACTAACCACACAGTAATGCTCCAGGGGTGAGGGGAGAAAACTGGGGGAAAGCATACACAAAACCATCCGTGATTCTCTCACAAACTGTTTGTCAGAGACAGCAAGACCTCCACACAAGAAAGGAGTTCTAAATTCATTGCTCTTTTATGGGTGCTCTGAGATCAGAGCCTCAGTATGTGGAGACCTGCTCTAGAGATCAGGACCCTCAGTAGTGGACTCTATATGTCCAATCATACCAAAGATGTGGGGGTTTTGTGGGTGTGGTAAGAAAACTAACTCTCTTTTAAGCTGTTTTATCACACTGCTGTTCATATCTATTTCCAGCCATTGCAGAACTCTCAGCTTCCTTCTTTCAGGATTTCTGCTTCATCCTTCCCATACCTATAGCCCCTCTGAGAAACTCATGCTGTGCTATGCAAAGGCTATTTAAGCAATCTTTATTGACATAAAGTACCTTGGACCAAAAGAAATTTTTGATGGGCACAGGCAGGAGACGGTCATGTTGAAACAGCCAGAGGCTGGGGTTTTTTAACAAGGATTTTAAAAGCATTATAGACATGCAAAATCATATTGCAATCATCCCACGTAACTCATAAACTGGGGGATACCCAAGACATCTGCCTTTGCACAATGCAGAAGGGCTCGCAACAGGCGTGATCTCTGCAACCTCAGAGAGCAGAGACTTGACCACAGACTGCAAGTCACCAATAAAAGGAAGTAGAAGGCATCATGATCATAATTCAGTCAGCCTCCAGTTGAAGAATGAGAAGGAGGAGAAATCTACTACCTCCTTACTACATGATAGAGTACGCCTCAGAGAAGTGTAGACACTTCTACAGATGTACCAAGGAACAGTCTCTTTGATACAGAGATTTCCTTTTCAAGGGAGTGCAGCTCTTCACTGCCTCCTGTGAAATATTATTAGAAGAAATGTCCAGGATGGATCATAAAACTTTTCACAAAAGAAAAATCATAAGGTGAAAGCACAGAGCTTCCTCATTTGACAAGTATTTGTTGGTAACAGAAACAACACCAACCACTGTGTGGTAAAACTAGCTGTAATGAAGAAGTATATGAAATTGTATCCCTTAGAAATTGATATCTGGCATTTTTATTGAAATAAGCCATGTCACCTGTAAATTTGCAATTACATATACTAGTGGCAAAATTATGTCAGACCTGTAAAAGAGAAAACCCTTAACGTTTGGAATAAGTCATGTTTTATTCTCATGACTTACAAGTCATACATACAGGCAAGCAGATACATTGTTCTGGATCCCTTTCCCCACCCACGACGTGGGGGAGCCCAGTTCTAGTTCCATCTCCATCTGAAGAACCATTCCGAGGTCTTGAGGGAGGGGGAAAGGGGACTCCAGAGACAGGGTTTTTCAGGCCCCGAGCCTGGAGGGGAGAGGTGCCCTCCCCTCCCCCCAGCACCCACGTGGCTCCATGGCAGGCACAGAGACAGCACACCGGGCGTGGAGAGGAGGCAAGAGAGAGTTTATTGTTGGGAATGTTACTTTTATAGGGTTAGGGAGAATCACAGGTTAACCAATTAGAAGTCTCAAGGGGTTTACAGGAACACCCAATCACAGGAAGGGGTTAACAAGGTCCAATGGGAAGCACCTCAGGACACCTTCCCAGGACATTCCTGCATGGGAGATAACAGTTGTCATGGGGGGTGTTGGGAAGAAGAAACACGTGTTTACAAAGAGACCACAAAGAGCCATCCTAAGACATGTTCAAACAAGTTTCTCATCAGACTTAGTGCTACACATTGTATCTGGGAGTATATCTGTAGTGTTTTTGAAAGTTAGGATGAACTTTAATGGTGAGATTTCCATAGGAATACACAATGCCAAATCTCTATTCCCTCAAAAGTCCTGAAGTACATGTTCAAAATCAAATACGAGATTTGTACAGTGGAATAAAAAAAACCCCAAACCTAACCCCTAACCCTAATCCTAATCCCTATCCCTACCCCTACCCCCAACTCTAATCCCTAATCCTGCCCCTACCCTTACCCCTAATCCTAAACCCAACAATATTATTGCAGTTTTATTCAGACTCACAACAGTGTTGATGTATGTGACTGCAATCTTTAGATACTGCTATCCTGGACAGAGTTTTTAATTATGCCCTTATTTAAAATAGGTGTCACAAATAATAATGACCAATAACCCCGCTCTCAACCACAAGAGTGGAAACCAATATCCTCAGAAATTGACAACTTTCAGTATGATACAAAAAGCCAGCAACATCCATTCATTCCAACAGATATTTAACACATAGGATTGTTTTTCTGTTGTGAAAAAGACCCACATCTTTCATTCTTCTGAAGTCAACAGGAATTTTGAATAAAAATACCCAGGCTGAAACTTTTCAGATTGCATTTGCTACTTCCCTATATGAATTACTGAATTTCACTTAACTTCCTATTCACATGTAAGATTTACATACAACTCTTGTTCTAGGGAGAAGAGGAAAAATGCCAATTCTGAAAATTTCCAAAGGTCCTACTCTCTGTAAATAGGAATTGAAGGAGAACAGACACTACTTTGCTCTGTCAGGCAACAGGAGACTAAACTAGCATTTTTACCTTACCAATTTAAATCATGAAGTACTTAAAGTGACCACTCACCTCTCAGGGGTTATAATTTTTTTTAGGAGTACCTGTTGCAACAGGACACGGGGTAATAATTTTACACTAAAAGAGGATAGATTCAGACTAGATATAAGGAAGAAATTTCTCATGATAAGGATGGTGATACAGTGGCACAGATTTCACAGGGAGGTGGTGGATGCCTCACTCCTGGAAACATTCAAGATCAGGCTGAACAGGGCTTTGAGCAACCTGATCTGGTTGAAGATGTCCCTACTGTTGGACTAGATGACCTTTAAAAGTCCCTTCCAAACCAAATCATTCTATGATAACACTTTTGTGGGAAAATGGGGACACTGGGGATTTTCAGACAGCTAAGAAGCAGACTCGGGTTCTTTCAGTAACCGCTCTTTCTCCTCCATTTCCTTGTGATCTTACATCCCTGCAGCCAGGAAAAGAATGTTTATATGAGGATTCCCCAAGATACAGGATGTATTTTTAGTTTGGTGACAAAATTTTTGCAAAGTTGTTCTTCTTTCTCAGAAGCCAGACATTACTTTGACTGCTGCATGGGACTCTTATGGTTATATTTTCAAAGCTATGCTTGTGTTGGAAACACAAATCCCATTACTGTTACAGGATTAGTGCACATAACTTTCCAAATGCTGCCTTAAAAATGAAGCCAAGGAATATTAGTTGTGTGTGCTTTCTGGAATTAATGTAGGCTGTGATTATTGGGCAGTCTTTACAACAGCATTGTTATATATGCATTTTTTGATGTACTATCTCTAGACACTCATTCAGACCTGTCTGTATTTCTTTAGTAGCTGGATATTTATTAAAAAAAAGGAATGATAAGACATCAGTTTCAACGTACCTCTAACTCTCCAGATGAACACAATTTGTCTTGACTTTGTTAACACTATTTCTTGGTGCCTTTTTAATGTCTCAGGAATAAAGAAAAAAAAGTTAACAAAATTATTAACATAATCTTTGTTTTCCTTAGTTCCACTAGAAGCTTCAAACCTGTGTTGCAGTGATGGAATTGACATGGTGCTGACATTACCAATTCCCCAGTTTCTTGAATCTGATTAAACTTTTTCTGCTGTTCTGAACTAAAACAGGTTTTGTATCTTATTACATTGTACAATTGCCTCAGGTGAGAACTAGTTTTTTCCTTCTATTACTATGCAGCATCTATTGCAATCACAGTGTTAATTTTTCACACTGTTAAATGCTTAAAATGTCCCAATGCTTGTATCATGAACTTTCAAACGAGAATGGACCTTTTAACCATTGTTTTAACCACTAAAATTATTAATAATCATCTTGACACGGAAAGAGATGAAAGGAAAAGAATGTGTCTTATAATAGAGAGAACATTTAGTTTCTGTATGTGGACTATGAGGTATGGCATGTGTTGTCTCTCCAGCACTATGAAATCTCAAGCAGTTCCAGACGTGCCCGTTGACATATCAACAGGCACAGTTTGAGAAAGCCTAGAAATTGGTACCACATAAGCAGGCATATTCAGGTTTCTAATTTTTGGCTTTAAGTGCCTCATTTTACATTCAGCATACTACAGGTTTATATACTTATCCGATTTGGTTTTTATTCCTGACATTGCTATTTTTTTGTTCTGTTTATACAATAAAGTAGGAAGTTGGATGCTGTTGGTTTCCTGTGTATCAGCATGGTGAGAAGGCCTCTTCAGGAGAGTAATTCATTCATTCATTCAGTAATTCAGTAATTCAGTGAATCCTTCCTCTGAATTGTCCTCTGGGTGGTAGAAATCTCTTTCTCCTAACAAATTTTGAGGATTCTAGGAAGGCTAATCAACCAACACAGGCACTTGCCATGGAGTGCCTTGAATCAGGCTGTGTGAAAAGCACCCAAATTACAAAATAACACCACCCTTGCATGGGTAAACCGGCAATATCTGTTTTTTATAAAAGTAGGTAAATTATGGTAGTTGTCTTCTCTGCTATTGTCATGCTCACATCTAATATAGAGCTGACATGCAGTCAATATAAAAAAACATTTATCCCACAAGACACATTTCAACTATTTCCAGACTGAATCTATCACTGACTTTAGCTTTCATCTTCCTCTTTTGTCAAAATTTTCTAGGCTTTAAATATAATCCAACTAGAAAGAACAGAGATTATTTCTTCAGTAAGTAACAATAATTTCTCTTGTGACGGTGTGGTATAAATACAGACAGCATCCAAGTCTTACAGCCACTCATGTAATAAAGTTCTTTTTCAGTGTGATTAAACATCAAAGAGTTTTTAAAGAACCCATTTATAAAATTTGAATTTCAAATCTTTATTTCACTGCCAAAAAATCTTATTTTGTGTTCAGACAACTGAACCATAAATCCTCCCAATCCTTAAACTGCACTGGCCAAAGTACTATCATTCATTAGATAAGGATAGTGACTACCTCATTTAAAATGAATCCTAGTAGATGACAGGCAGTGGAGGAAATATATTCTAGTGTGATATGAGCCAAAAATACAGTTAACTAAAGGAAAGAGCATTGAGGGGTGGTAAAACAGGGAAAATGCCTGCATGATGATGTTTGTGAAGGAGGCCATTCAGAGCTTCTACACACACAATATTTCTTACATAGTCTTGGCTACAGTCCAAGACTATATACCCACACACACATATATATGTATAAAAAATGCACAGTCCATCCTGGTATATAATTTAAAACATGTATTATAAATACTTACGTATATTAATCCAATAGTTGTGGGCTACTTACTATCAAAGGCCACTGTTATATGTAACAGGGAACAATATTATTTTACTGTATTGTTTAAATAGATTTGGTCTTGTAGAAAACTGATGGTGTAAATCAGGATCTTATGTCTCATTTGGCAAATAGTAGACATTTCAAATGGTTTTAATCCTCTGAGGACAAAGTAATTCTGTTCTGATTTTTACAAGTTATACACATGCCTATTGCACACAATATAAAAAAGAAATCAATGCAAATGTTCACATGAATAGATTTTAGGCATATCCATAAAGTTGGAAGAACTATGGCCTTAGTATTTACATGGATAGAAGTAGTTTACAACAAAGTGAAGAAGAATGGTCTGTAATGACTAGACATGTTCTCCACAGAACATGGAATAAAAAGCAAGGACTTTAAATAGAACAAATGCTTCAAAGTGATACCAAAGTATAAATAATAACCTTCGGGGTTTACTTTCTCTATATTTGCAGTTGACAATATGTTTCTGTAGAGAAAAAAGTGAAGTCTTCAGACTTTTTTAAAATAAAAGCTTGAAGGTTGGGGGTTTTTCATTAAAAAAAAATAAGCCAATCTTAATATAAAGCAGTACAGGATTGAAAATGGGAAAATGAGAGCTACGTCTACCACACTAACCTAAAGTGACTTGAGTGGTATGATATGTTCTTCCAGGGTATGGCTAAAGCAGGAATGAACAGCTTAGTTCACATTCAGTCTGGAAACAAGAAAAATGCTTTCAGCTACATTTTGGTCTTGTCCAGAACAGTTCTGCTGGCATTCAGTAAGCATCCACAATTACAAGATCTGGGGTACGTCCCGTCAGTTGTTCACATTCAATTCAGCCCAGAGCACAGCAATAAGGTCAACAGAAGTTTAGAATTTATTACAAAGAAAAGATTGCTGCTGTGGGACCTCTCTGGCATCAAGCCTCAGAGAGCCAAGAGCAGCCCTCCGTAACTGCTTGTCTACACAATCTCCATTGTTCTCTCAGGTTTCACAGCTGCAGAGGTTGCTTTCTGTTCCAGAAAGTAAGAGCTCTCCTCCTGCTCTCCTCCCTGCAAAGTTGCAGAGCAGATCCACAACAGGAAGGATTTTGCTCTTCTCATTTTGGGGAGGGAGGGATGCTGATCTTGCAGGCTCTTCACTGCTTATATCACCCTGCCTGAACCAATTAACTTGGCCTTAATAGCCCAGTGGGTCTCAGGTGGCTGGGGCTTGACAAGGCATTTCCTCTCTGTGTGCTAGTCTGGATAAAAGTTACTTGAAGGACACACCTCCTAAATTGTGTAACCTTTTTATATTTAATCAAAAAACAACCTTTGCCTTATATATTAGAATCTGAAGATAAGCCAAGAACATATGAATTGAATATTTTAAAGTCCTTTTTAACTGATTAACTGTGTTTCTCAGAGACATTCTTGCTAGTTCCAAAGAGGAGCCTTCACCTAACAGTTTAATAGAGGGAGCTTAGGGTAAACATTTTTCCCAAACTTTTTAGTAAATTGATCCCTTTCTACACTGGAATTCCCCTACGTCCCCTAGCAGGAATCACCCGCAATTCCCAACTGATGACAGTCTGAAAGGCAGGATATTTGGCATAAGGAAACTAGAATTTGAACAAATCTCTAGAGTTTAAAAAGGGATCTATCCATGCTATAAAGTTGGAGCTGTAGAGCTGGACTCCAGCAGTTCCTGGCAGAAAGCAGAGGAGACAGGGAAGGCGGAAAGGACAATGGAGAGAGAACAGGTGTTTCAGAAAAAAAAACTAACCCCCGCTTCATCTGCTCTGTTCCTGATGTAGTAGAGCATTCAAAGCAATGTAGAGGCATCTAATTACTTAATTACCATTGCATATGTTTATCCTTGAGTGTCTTAATGGTCTTTTCAGGCAACATGGATATGAAATTGGGCTGTGACCACTCCAGAAAGCTCAGACATAAAACATGTGAAGACTGGGCCCAAAACTTGAAGTTAAATCATGAGTAATTCTAAATAACAAAGGCATTAAAAAACCCCTACTAAAATAAAAGAGATCTAAGGGGTTAATATAGTCCTTCCATGTAATTACTATTGGGTATTACTATTTGTGCATAATTGTTCATATTTAATGCAGTTAAAAATTATTAATTTACCCACAAAACAGCTATGTAAACTAGGTACCAGAGAAACCTAGAAAAAAACTTGATTTACTTCACAAATTTGGCAGTCTAAGAAAGACAATATGTCCTTGGTTTGTTTCTGATGAAGTGATTTCACAGTATTTCCAAATGAACCTATTCTACTCCAATGGGAAGTGAAACAATGTTTGTTTAAAATGATTTAAAATCACAGACTTTCATTGGAAATCTAATCTGCCAGGTTTCTGAATTCCCACTTTGACTGTGCACAGACCCTACTTCGTCAGTCTGGCAAGCTTTTAATTACTTCCCATAATAACGCATCACTAATCAGCAACTACTAAAACAACACTCAGTCTGAATCTAACCTTTTACAACAAAGTAATAATATATTATCCAGATTAAGAACTACTTTGTTTTCCTAGGTAGATCATAATCTCCTTCACTGCTTCGTTTAATTTTTTTTCTGACATGACTGGAAACTATTTGGTTAAAGGAAATGTATCTGCCTTGATTAGATTAGGATTTGGCAGCAAACTCTGCAATAATATAGTCTGCCATATCAGATGACAACAGGGCTTAAAACTTTTCACATTCCTTTAGTTTGTAGCAGAGCTCTGCACAAATTCTCACATCTGAACTTTTAAAATGCCTCATTTTTGCTTTCTGCCTGATGCTGAATGAGTACAAAGAACACTGGCATTTTATTTTGCTGAAAAAACTCAAGTTGCTTCTAGAGTAGAAAAACATTAACTTGGCTTACTTCCAGCATGGATGTGTGTGTTGCAATAAAATTCACTTTCTTGAGAGAAGGTACCCAGAGTCCCCATAAAACACAGGAAATTCAGGTGTACAAACCAGTAAACTTAACAGACAAAGCTACCAGTAAAAGATGACCAAAAAAAAGGAGAGGATCTAATATATGTCCCCCCAGAGACAATTAGGGGCTTATTCAGGATTCTCAGCTACTGGCTCTCCTCTAGAACTGCTGTCCCATCAGCCTCTCCTCATAAAAAATAAGACAGAGGATTTCACAGTGTTTCCCAATTTGCAATACTTGGTAACTTAATAGTTAAAGCATTTATTAAGATTAATAAATAAGATTAAGAAAGTACTTACCTCCCCTTTGGCCTCCAGATCTTATTCCAGCAGGAAATCACACCTTAATGTAACTGATCCTGCCAAATACTTCATTGTTTTCCATTAACAGTGAAAGTGGCAGGCATGTTCCACCACAGATCTTCCCAAATGTGTTGCAATGAAAGAGAAAAAAAAGAGGTGTGTTCATCTACACTTTTAAGTATCTTCTGTTGTTATAATTAGTATCCTTTATTTTTAGATGCTACACATGTAAGAATTTGGTCTACTCTGAAGTTTTTAGGAGTTTCTTTTTGTATGCTTATTCCTGTATTCCTGCAGTCAAAAAACTTAATTATTTCACCAAGATCTATATTTTAAAATATCGTCCAAATATATATGATGAAATACTATACACAGATAAATTTCTGGGCATTATTACTCTGTACAGTACAGTGCATTTCTCTGAAATGTGCCTAATTCCAAAAATATTATTAACATAGTGTTTTTTAAAAGCAACCTAGTGGGGGGGGAAGCCCAAGTGTAGAAAGATTTTACTAGAGATGAGTCAAAGTGTTTAAGGGTTCTCTTCTTATCAGGCTGGACCCAGTGACAGGACTGTGTCCAATGCCATGTGGGACTGCCAATTTTAAGCACAGTATGACAATGCAGCCATGTGTTCAGTCAAGTTTTTGCATTAATCTGGAAAGCAATATCAAATCAGTATTTTGTAGGCTTTTTTCCTTTTTCAAACTAACATTTCCTGGATATAACTGATTTATTGTTCCATTCTGTGAGTTATCATTCAAGATTTCCAAGGGGAAAGGAATGATATTTTTGCCTTCAGGATTGCTGTAAGAAAACACCTGCATTTAGAATAAGAAATTTTATTAAACTGTGAGAACTTTTATAGAACTATTGTCTAGGGTACAAGTGGAAATATTAAAAGTTATATCCCATCTGAGGCTGAAATGTTTCTCTTTTGCACACATGGAATATGTTCAATATAATTCTCAATGCCTGTAGACTTCCTAAAAGCCTGAGATAAATTTAGTGTCAGAAGAAGGAATTGTGTAGTCACATAGAAGTAATTACTTTCAGTACTAATCCACATTTTAGCCTGAAATCTAGTGAGTATTTTTGTTGCCACCACAGAGAATCTGACATAAACAAAACATCTCAAATTATCCCACAACCTCTAGTTTATTCCATGTACACCTGGAAATCACAGCTGAGCCACAGTGCCTCTGATTTTTTCCAGGGCACTATATTTTAGTAACAGTATTACAAAATATTTTGTAATTTCTCGGAACTTTACAAAGGCTAGAGAAGGATGGTGGTACTGGATAACCACGTCCTCATAATGGTAGTTATCCTTATTTAATTTTTCAGATTTGAGGTAGAAACATGTTATGGGATTTTGATAGATTATTGTATTATTTAAAATAAATATTCTCTGCTAAGACACACCTTGCATTTTAGCAATGCCACAAAGGTAATTCAGCCTAGAGGTCTTCACTCTTTCATAGACTGACTGGCTTTTGATCCAGACAGACACTGAGGTTTTGGTCTAGACCTTTAACCTCTGAAACAAATTATGCTGTTTACAAGCCTAAAGCTCCTTCAGACTAACTATAGGAAATATGCAACATCCTTCAAAATGATCACAACTGAATTATTAGGATTACTATGCTGCACAATGTGAAAAATAGATATTTCTAGAGAAACAAGGTTATTATTTGCTGTGACTGAATTTAAGCCTGAAAGCTTTGACCCATACAGAGGACATGCTGTTATTTTGCCTTTTTCATTCAGACCACAACTCTTCCTTCTCTGGGTCAGAAGCAAATACAGTTGGGCATTGCCACACTGATTCTGCCTACAGGTTTCAGAGTAATCTGCACTTTGCAAAATCTGGCAGTTTGCAAAATATATCATTTTTTATTACTGAAGCCTATGGATAATTTTTCAGGAACAAAGTTCAGTTTCTTTTTTTCTGAATATCATTGACTGAGATTATTCCTTCTTGGTTACCACCGATCATATGAAAATCTTAGATTCTTAGTCTTTAGAATTATTTTGTGTTGCACTGCCATGAAAATAGATAATCCTGTTATTCTTTATTACATAATATGTATTCATTATCTTCCTAACCTGCCTGCTTAAATCTGTACTGTACTAACATGTTTTCTGGTTTTATACTTCAATTTCTACACCAACAGTATTTTAAAGTCCAAGATTGTTCTTTTTAATATCCACTTGCAACGACATTACAGCCAGTAAATGAAATGGATTATATTGAATAGGTTCAGAATTCCCATTTTAGCTACATCCATGGGACAGAATTTTAAGCATCTATCTGTGGCCATGACAGAACAGGACATCCTGTAAATGTTTATGGTTATCATTTAAGTGTCTAAGTTTGATTTCTCCATTAAATTGGCTTTCTCTTCTCTTTATAAAGGAGCCCTGCTTCACAGGGAATAGAAAAACAGCAAAACAAAGCAGGACACTAAATTCATCTCAGGGTTCTGCTGACATCAGAAACCACTCAATCTTTGCTCAAGAGACTCTTCATGTATTTATAACCCTGTAATTTACAGTTTCCTTCCATTTACTCTCTACATGGGTGACCTACCGAATGAATGCACAACAGCCAATATGGATCCCTTGTATGCTGACAAGGAGCTGCCTATGCTAGCACAGACACTCCAGTCAGGTTTGAGAATGTCCTGGACAAAAACATTTATCATGTAGCAAAAACTAGAGGAGCTGCCTGCTAAATACTACCCATAAAAACAAAACTATTGAAAAGTGAGGCTGACAAGATACAAGTAACTTGAGAGTCACCTCAGAGATGAGAAGAACATTTGGTTTGTGCACAAACAGTGCTGGTTTTCTTTATTAATTTATTTCTCTCACATAAAAATAGAATAATTTTCTAATCTTATTCATAAGAGTTCAGTATTATTCATGTTGACTAAAAGTTTGTTATTAAATGGGCTTGACAGAACAGTTTCTCTTAACACCTCTTCAGAGGTAAACTGGGGCTTATAACAGGAATAAATTAAATGCCACTGGACTGTTTTTGTAATTTGTTAGGAATAAGACTTTTCTAGATTGTTCACTATCTTAAAACACTGCTTAGTTAAAATAATGCCACTCCTCTCCATTGCAATCAGCCCTTCTGCTTCAAAGCTAGCTTAGTTCCTTGTGTTTCTAGCTGTATCCAGGTGCTCTTTGAAAGGCACAAAGTTACCCACAAAAAAGACTCGTAAAGCATTATGATAAGGTGCATCCGGGTGCCAGAATTCAGGTTCTGAAAATCCTGTCCCAAGAAAGGAGCTACAGAGCAATTTTTCAAAAAAAAATTTTATATTTTTTTAAGTTGTAGTTTTTGTGGTGTGAAGAATGAAGTAGCATTCACTATAAGTGGGAATTGGGATGACTGAGTCTACACCACTCTTGATGTGTGCCCTGAATCAAGTCATTGCTCTCTGCCACACTTCCTTCAACTGTAAAATGAGCGTATTATGGTACCGTCCTCAGAGCAGGGATGCAAAAATAACCAGTTATGTAAACATGCAAAACATTTTGTGATCCTAAACTACACACTTCTAAAATGAGAAGGGTGACATGACTGGCAGTCTTTGCTATATGGATTTTTTTTACTACAGTAAAATTAAGAAACTGTATAGAAAATACAAGAACTGAAAATCATCTGTTGTTTAATCTTTCACCAAACAGTTGTCAGTTATCAATTTCTGAAGGCAGGATTATGGGAGAATAAACAGTTCTTAGGACTGGGTGGGTACCCAAAAGTCTTCCAGTTTTGTCAAAAGATTAATTCAAGGGAAGACTAGGACCATACAGGACTAAACACACCACTTGGTACTGCCTCCAAACTGCAATAATTAAGAACCAGTTTATGACTCATCTGTGCTATGCTGTCTCTTCAGTCTGTGCTTTGCTCATAAACAGATGGACTGTAAATATTCTTGAAACAAATTTTTCAAAACTAACTTCTAACCTCATAACAAAAGATTCAGCTCTGTGAAAATATAATTGAAACAGATCTCTGGGAATATAGAACATAACATCATAAACCCTGACTAGACTTCTTAAAAATTATTTTAGAATTTGAAAGACACTACTAAATGACATAGTGGTTTTGCAATATGGTTTTTGCATAACAGTTTTGCAATGACATTTGAAAATCCTTACTAAATTGGGCTCTATTGTGCACAGCAGAAGATACAAAAGATTAGGAGTGGTCAGTTTAGAAAAGATGAAAGAAAATCTGGTCAAAGAAATATAAATGGCATATTTTATATTTATTCATAAGGGAAGAACAAATCGACAATCATAATTATGACAGACTAACATATGCCTAGAATGTTTGTGCTGACCTGTAAATTCAATTCTGTGACCACTATTTTGTCTGAAAAGCTTCTAAATTTGTTTGTTCTTTCCTTTTGCATTTTTCCACTTTGAATTAAATACACATCAAATGGCAATTCTAATAATTTGGTTATGTTCACCCTAGAAAAAGAGGGTGCCTGCAACCCCACCAGGTTGCAGAAAACTGCTTTGTCTTGTTTGCAGTTGTTGGGAAAGGGCAGAGTTGAGGTAGGCAATGGATCTCATAACTTCTGGAACTGCTAGAGACGTTTGAAAGAGAAACTAGAACAGGGCAGATTTTTTCCATACTGATGTGTCTGTAACAACCTATCAGCTGAGTACAGGATTGAGGATGTTCTGCAAAACCTGCTAATGGGCTTTGTAAATATTGTGAACTCTGATAGGAAGTGTTTGGTATGCAGGTATTCATTAATCTTGTTTTGTTTAGCTAAAAAACTTAGCTGATTTGGAAATAATTTTCTAAATTTGTAAATTCCACAGTTTTATTTGTAATCTCCTCATTGAGGGTGTTTATTGATCTGTCACATCACAGGACATGATAAAATGCAGGGCCATGCATTAACAGAAGAATGCTGCAGTATTAATATTGCTCAGACAAAAAGCATGGAAGCTGGTAGGGTTAAAAAGTGGGCTCTACTATGGCCTCAAGAAAGGTACACCACCTTTAGAGTTCTTTTCCTATCTCCAGTAAAGAGTTCAGAACAAATCAGAAATACATTACATTTATTCCTTCTCATGAAGAATAATAATTCACTAGAGGAAAATAGTTTCCTATATATTTAATGGAACAAACAAAACCAAAATAATTTACTTGATGCCTCTGGAAAGATTTGTAGCTATTGTAATGTACTAAGAAGCGGAGTCTTTTTGGTTCTGGTAAATGATATAGTCATAACTGACACATGAATAATGAAATCCTAACACTGGCAAATGCAAGTAAAATAAAATAACCAAGTGATCCTCTGGTTGTACTCAGAAGGAAGGAGAGGACAAAGGCAGTGTTATAACAACAGCTTTTGCAGACTGATCAAGTACACAGTAGGGAAACCTATGTTGTGCTCCAACTAAAATATGCTGAGACTCACAGCTTACAGAGAAAGGAAAGCTAGGAGTTCATTCAGTGGTTCTATATCACCCAGCTCTATACCCTTACAGAGGAAAGTGAATTCATAAGATACCAGCCAACTTCGTAAAGTGAGAACCATGCAAAAAACTGCTAGACTGGGTTCCAGAGATGAGTTGAATGTTTTCTGCACTCATTTTCCAAAGCCATCTCATTTTAACTTAAAGTTCCATGAAGGTTCTATGTTTTCAGGTCTGGGGAGTACTTAGGCTAACAAAGAAGGTATATATTTATTGTGGCCCTAGTTAAAAACAAACAAAGAAAAGAAAACCAAACCTGAAAGGAGAGTTTCTGTAGCAGATCGAGTTGCATTATATCCACAACACATTGACATTATCTATTTTATAATAATCATTGCAGCAAGAAGGAATTGTAATATTCTAATTCAAAACTCTATTACTAAAACCAGATATCTTGTTGGAGAGAAACTGCTAGAGTTTACAACCATAGCAACCTCAGTAGTGGCAATTCTAGACCAAAAATAATGAAGATTTGAAATGTATAAAACACTGGAAAGAATTATAAAGGCAACTGTTGTACCACAGCAGGCAATAGGTACTACGTGGTTGTTTTAACAAGCACAAAGTACCTGCCATGACAGTATCTTACACACACTTCTGCAACTTTCTAGGGTAAAATTTATTTATAAAGATAGAAAAATAAAGCTCTTAATTTTTTTAAAAGCACTAGATTTAGGCTGGTGTTACAAAAGTCATTCTCTCTTTATGCCTTTTTATGCCTCCACAACCTACGCACTAACTGAAGCAGGGCTGGACAAATTATAGGCTATCATGTAATTGTAAGCTATATCATAATGTATTCACTCTAGAAGGCAAAATTAAAGATACATTTACTTTCATGGGAAGAAAAAAGGTAGTAATGATGGTGAACATTTTAGAAGCCCTTATTTGCCAAGAACAGAGAATTAAAAGGCTTTTAGCAAATGGGCTTTTTCTAACTGGTAAAAGTATTCCACCAATATTCTCCACAGTTACAACTTCAGCACTGGTAGCAATAATGGAAATGATGTTAGAATTAGGGCTCAAGGCACTAAGGCTCTAATTGCTGTCATCATCAAGGGGAAATGCTACATAGATTCTCAAACAATCAGCTGGCCTGATTTAGTCTGATGATCCATCAAGATTCAGTACTGAACTTAAGCAGGATTTTCTGGAAATAGTCTGTATATAAATTCTTAATGTGACTTCTGGTACACACTGTTCAGATCTTGTCCTCTTTCAGTTTTTTAATGACTTTTTGTAGTATCTCATGCCATTTAACAAAAACACATACTTAATAATTAGAAGATGTAACTTCACAGAGGTTTGCTTTACTATGAACACACACATGAGATCTAAAAGGATGATTCACAAGAGCTAGCCTAGCATTCACAATGACCTCAGTTGTCTCAGGTTCAGAATGAAAATAAGCTAAAACTTTTCACTCAGAAGTTTTCTGTTCCTCACTCTAGGAGGTAATTAATTTAAATACAAATAAATAATCATCAACTTTTATCTTGTCCCTGTTGCTGGAACAACAAATCAATTCCCAGTATTACTCAAAGGGTACTTTAGAGATATAGATCTACTTATCAGCAAAGGCTGGGAGTATTCCAGTTGTACATTTCAGTTCACGTTTTTTTCCAGTAATAACATTAACTACACTACTTAATAAGCTAAACTGTACAAAATTGGAATTTACCCTCAAAAATATGCAATTCCTATATGCAGCCACTGGATGGACTTACAGAGCCAGTGCAACTTTCTGATTGTAGACAAGATGCACAATTAGGTGAGCAACTGGGAAGAAATTTTCCTTCTGGGCAGTAGGAGAAGCTTTCTGTAAAAAAAGGTTTGAGCCTAAAAAGCAAGGTACAAGAAGGGATTTTAGCTTCTCTTAAATCGAGTCCTTATTTTTCAATACAATTAGTTTAAGAACAACTAGATTGCTGAAATGAACCAGAGTGATAAGAAAATTAGTTTGTAGAACACACAGATCAGTTCCAAATGTGATTATTTGGTATTAGGGTTTTAGGGTAAAAGCACTAAAAATTGTACTGAAAAGAAGCTAGGGGGTTTTTGATAGCTCATTTGCAAACAGAAGCAGATCACAGTTATTTAAAGTTCTGCTTATTTAAACTTATGCTACTTTAAAATGACCATATTCTTTAAGAATAAGTTAAAACAGTATTTGTTTAAGCTCCCTTACCTTTTTATAGAATAGGAACCTACTCCTCTGCATAGTAAGTGTAAAACAAGCCCTGCATTAAACAAGAGTATGATCATCCGTGAATATAAAAATTTATTACAGCTGGCTGCTGCAATCACTTCTGAGTATTTTGTGTGGATTATATTTAACTATATTACAATTTATTTAATGCACTTCTTTAGACCAGTTACTATTTCACTGTATCATGGCTGGGCTTCGCAAACGAAGATTTGGGGAAGGCTCTACCCACATTTGTTACAAGTGCGCTGGTGGCTAAAAAGGCCAATACGAGATAGGCACATCTGGTGAAGAATCCTTAGGGTTCTCCTTCAAGAAGAACAAGGACTGGTTTGATGAAAACAATCAAGAGATCCAGGAATTGTTGAGGAAGAAGAGAACTGCTCACCAAGCACATCACACTGTATACAAAAGTGATAAAATACATATGTGATTCACTGTGTTTTGATGTTGTATAGATAATAGTGGTAGGTATCAGTTGTAGCAGGAAAAGTCAGTAAATTTATCTCAAAGAAAGTAAATAGGCTTGCTGTGGGGAGAACCAGGTGAAGTTGGGGAATGAAAGTATAGATGTATAAGCCTAGGAGAATGAAGAGCTGTCGCATGGATTTCCCCATACCTGCTGTTCTCAATCAGTGACAGTGATAGGCATGGTCCCTTCGCTCCCCCTCTGCAGGTACACTCAGTTACAGAATCTAAATGTGGGTCATGTGATTTTGTCACTGTGTCAGTCTGCCCTCACAATTTAGAATGGCACCAAACCTAGCTATAGTTGAGGCTACTCTGCATGCCTGGATTTCTTTTGTCTTTGTAGTGTGAAGGTCATATGCAGAGTCTGTGTAGAGTGAATGTCCTCTGACTCTTTATGTAATTGCATGGGATAGTCTTACTGGGTACCTATTATAGCCAGGATGAAGGAGAAACAGTGAGAAAAAAGCTTGTGAGCAGGGAAGGAAGGCTGTGTCAAGTTCAGTGCTGCCGTCTATTGATTTCAGTCCTCTTCTGAAACAAATCATGAGACTACAAGACATTTCTCAGCTAACAACCCCTTTCCCAGCCTAATTCACTTCTGAACTATGTGTAACAGTAACTCTGTGGATAAAAACAACACCTGCAGAAAAATCATTCTGGATCTCACTGATATTTTGCTGCTTTCCACCGTATACTTTACATTTCTGATATTTTTTAGAAAAGCAAACAAAGCCTCTCATAGGGCCCAAAGAAACTAACTGAGTAGCCACATTTAAAGTTATGCATGCATTTTAACACCATTCTAAATCAGGAGCTGATATCCATGAATTAATTGCCTGCAATGATCACACAGATCATAGAACAGGATGGAATGACACCTCACAATAATCATGGTGCCCATCATGGGACACAAAATGCATGCGATGTGTCTCTGGCACACCGGGACTGCTGAATCCCACATGCTGTCCTGACCTCAGATGGGGAAATACCATCTGGCATAGAAGCCCCACAGTTGGCACCGCAGACTGCAGGCTCCAGGCTCCTCTCTCTCCCTCCCCACTTCTCATCCTACCCCTCTGACAATTAAAGAAACAGCAATCTTGCAGGAATGAAGTCAAGCTACAAGAATATTGAATGACTGAGTCAGAGACTAGGAATGAGGCTGGCCAGAGGCCGCTTGACATATACCATTGCCTAAAAGGAAAACTGTGACAAATCAGGTTCTCCTGTACCACTCACTAGACAATGAGATCCCCTTCCTGTTCTTCCCACTACATGCAGCATCATGTCACAGGTGTGCACTTCCCTGCTAAAATCCTCCCAGAAAACACCATACCTCAGGCAAGAATGCTTCCCCCTGCAAAGCCCCTGAGTACAACTTGCTATTCTTGGCTTGTTCTGACCTCCTTTAATTTCCTGACGTTGTTCTGGATCTAGGTGTTGGTCACACCAGACCAGCCAAGCAGCAATCTTCTCATACCAGTGCTGATTTAGAAAGCCTTTGCTAAGCTCCGACACTGGGAATCTTTTACCATACTGAGATTAAGTCACAGACTTCCTTCCAGGGTAGGTGGCACCAGGAGCTGCCAGCTCCAAGCCAGGACACTAAACTGGGTGGGGCAGCACCCTAATATTACATAGGGCAACATAGACAGAGCCAATGGAATTACTAGTACCAATAGTCTAATCATCTATAAAAGCAAATCAAGTGAATCATCTCCATATAATGATGGACTGCCTCACATGAATTAGATTTTTAAAGTGCTTCTAAATTACATGTTACAATTCAAGTTGCTTAGAGACATAAGCTCTGTTTGGGAGTGGTCCTCCTTCAGACCATTTTCATATTCTAGATGAACTACTGAATACCAAACTGTTTATTCCTACAAATAGAATATTTGTCTATAGTTTTAAAACCAAATAATTGCAGAATAACACCATTATTCTGCTGCTGTGACAAATTTTTCAAACTAGATAGGAAATATGAAGTAAATATGTATACCTATAATGTTGGTTTTAAATAGAGCACTGCCAAGCAATTAGATCCACAAATGACAAAGCTGATGCAAAGCTCTGAATCTTTTTACTCACAGATTGTTTGGTAAATTGCTTTATTTGCATTGGATGCACCACTAAAATCATTCAAACTGGTAACCAATCTGTTCCTGTTACTGTACACCTGAAAGCATTACAGCAAATCTGTCTTATTACAGCCAAATGACAAATACCAGGAAAACTGTTGCCAAGACTGCCTGATTTGTCTGTGTTGAGGCCTGTGGATCCCACCTGCTCTGTGCAATGCCACTGTGTATATTATGTTGCAGCACAGGCTAAGCACAGCTTGGAACACTGACAGGCAACATATGACATCCAATATGAATTCCCCTCACTTAATTAACATAATGTATGTTCTTTGACACACAATAAATTATATTTTTAAAATTTAGAAATTTAGCTTTGATTTCTTTTTGGCCATTCATGTGTGCCATTCTGAAGAAGTAACAAGATTATAGTACTCACAGTGCTCAACCGTGACATTTGAAATGTCTAAACCTCACGCCAAATTATTTTCTGCATATCCAAAGTGCTTACATATCCTCATGCTCATGGTGTTTCTTATCTCCTGACATTTCAGTGTTCATTTCAGATTAGCTTTTTAAAGGCATAAAGACTACAAGGACATGTTTATGTGTGTTCTGTAACATATTTCTATTCAGTTCAGAGTTTTATTTCTGATACCATACACATAGCCTTTGCTCACTGAAAGCAAACAGCCATGCAAATGTGAAGGAAGAAGAAATTTGAAAGGAAAAATAGTAATTTGCAACTCTTGAACAGATGAAAACATTGATAAACCATCTATCTTGGGGAACACCTGCTTTTATTTATGCATAATCAAATTCCAAAGCCAAAAGTTGGTAACAACAGATCTCTCTCCCCACTAGCAAATGTGTATCCAGAGGTGACCAATGAAGTTCACAGGCACATGCAATGAAGCAGGTCATGATCCAGGGTAACCCTACCTTTATTTTACTGGTCTCAGTGCTTTAAGACTCCTTGCCCCGTGTCCCAGCTATCCATGCCTGACTTTGATCCACAATGCTTTACAATGAGGTATGTCTTTTTATGAATTGGTTCTTTATTTAAACCTATGAAAATGAGATGTGAAAGTGTGTTGCAAGTGTGCTTTCCCCTCAGAAATGTGAGTCTCACAGCGCTTGCTAATGTGCAGATTGCATGCTGTAAATCCACCATCATTAGCCGTCCAATCCAATCCCAAAGAGGGAATGGATTCCTTAAAAAGGAGTGAGCAGGACAATGCAGGGTATTAATTTTATGTACCAATATGCATTGGTATTTACCAATATGCATTCTAACTTCATGCACCAGTATGCATTTCCTTATCTGTGATTCAGAGCCTCTGGATGAGCTCAGAGCTAATGGTGACTGAAAATCAGTGGAATAGTCTTTATAGGTCCACTTGAGACAAATATTGATGGAAATGGAGGCCACAATTACATAGTGAAGATGTACATTCACATGTGTTGTAATTAAAGAGGAATAAAGTGGTCTAGCACAAAACTCACAGTACTAACAGAATGGAGAAGTGTAATGTGACCTTTCTTATAAGATATTGTTCTTGCATTAAGGAGATGAGTGACTTCTAAATATAGCCGTGTTTTGTAGCAAGACTACTTAACTGGAGTGGCAATGCTATTTCATCTAAAAATAAAGCAATGATTCTCCCTCAAAATACCTAAAGCCTGTACCTGTGGTTTCACAAGCACCTGAAGGCAATCTAAGTTTGCACAGTCATGAAAAGCAGCTGTCCTGTCCTCTCCTCCCTCTCTGTCTGTAAGGATCTGCTCTTCCCTTGCCAGGCACTAATGCTGTAACACACCATGCCATCACACAGATGTTCCCTGACATCTGGCCAGCTCAGAGAACACTCAAACTCAGTGACCATTTGTACAGAGATAGAATTTAGGTTTGATATGAATGACATTTGAGTGAGTCTGGAATCCAGAAATCCATTTTCATGCTTAAGTTCCTAACACAGTGCATGCCTGCACACCTCAAAATGAAATTCAAAGCAACTAGTGAGTTGATCAGGAAGTTACCTGAAGCCACTGTCTTGTCTTAAGTACTTCCCTACAGAGGGAATTGCCAGTGGTCTGTTCCATCTCCTTGTGTGTCACCCTGCAGAATTTGTAGAAGGAAGTCAGGACAGGTCACTGTCCTCTGCTTGAGTGACCTAACAGGGAAGAACACCAAGGTGATAGTGCTCTGATTTACAAAATGTTATTAATCCTTGGTTAGAGGTAGAAAATTTGGCCTAATTCCTTCCTTGGCCAAATCAGCTAAATGCAGACCTCTCTGAGGTGTGCTCTGATCATCAGGCTAACATTTTGCTCTTGGATGAGGGCTGCAGTAAAGGTCAGGCACTTGTGGTACTTGAAGTTGTGCCACTTGAAGAGAAAAGGGAAAACCAGGCTCATTGGGCAAGACAGGAAACATGACACTAATCCTTTAATCTAAAAAGAAACAAAGAAGGAACTCATCTTCATGACATGATGACCAACTGCAAACATGGGAAACACAGCTCTAGAGCGGAACTAGGGAAGAAAGTAGCTTTCTTACATGTGAGCTAATTACTTTCAATTAAAATAAAAAAAAAAAACAACACAAAAATACCAACTCCAAATTTGTCTTATAAAATCTTAAGAGTCCGATCTTTTTTCACGCACTCAGGTGGAACCTGCATGTTTATTATT